CAGGGGGTTGGACTAGATGACCCACAGAGGTCCCTTCCAACCCCTACTATTCTGTGATTCTGTGATTCTGTAATATTTTAGATGTACCAAGTAAACTTAAATTAAATGTGATTTTTTAAATTAAATTATCTAAATACCTTTGCCACTGCAAACGCTCAGAAACTAAAGGTGATGTGTATTTACTTACCAATTTATGAAAACATTCTTTGCAAACCATAACCACAATTCATTTTGGTTAAACTGAATGCATTTGGGGTTTTTCTAGGGTTTTTTTTTTTCAGGCTGATTAATCACTGAAGCACAGCAACTTTTCCTTCCAGGCTACGGTAAAGTCCCTATGCCTCAGAAAGCCAGCAGATAACAGACCTTGCTATTACCACTTTTCTTTTCCTGCCCAACTCGCTCCCTCCATGAAGATCGCCCTACAGACCGAATCTGAGATATGACAGACGCAAGACAAAACTCCCGTTTCAAGAAGTAGACTCGAAAAAGTCGTTTCACGAAATGATTCGTCACACATTCACAGCTGCTCCGGCTGGGGAGGGGAAAGGGAGGACGAGCCAGCACAAATGCAAAGCAAGACTCAAACGCATCGCTCCCGCATTTCTACACATCTACAACAAGACGCGACCACATCCAACGCAACACCTCAGACTCGTGCCATTTGAGTTTAGAAAGCTGTAATTATACACAGATGTACATTAGTGGATAATTTCATTACCGTTACGCAGATCTTCCAGCCCTCTTACCCTTCTGGTTTTGGTGCACTTGTTGGCATTGCTTGCTACGTTCCTTACAAGCCTTGCAAAACAATTAGCGTTTTGCCAATTGTTATTTCGCTTAGCACAAAAAAAAAGATATTAAGTTGATCTACGTCCCTAGGTTGCTCCTATGTAAAAAAAATACTGTTTTTCCTATTTCTGTCTTCCAGTACTTTTTTTCTTTTTAGTTAAAGTTTGAAGTATCACGGATTTGACATTTAACTGCTATGTATTAGATCTCATTATAGCAGAGATTTCTATCCTACACTGGCTTCCTATCAACACACGAACAACTTACCAACACGTAATATCGTTAGATATACTGAGATACCACACGCCTTACGAGTGGCAAGCCAGCATAGACTTCAGCAAAGCTTTTGGGGTTGAAGAGATCTGAAGTGGGAGCCGAGCGTGCCTCCAGTA